TTCCAACAATCTCTTGGAATTCCCATGGGTACCAATTGCGCCCCTCATTAGCAGGCCTATTTTTGTATTCATATGAAACAGAATTTATTCAAAAATTTCTATATGAGAAGAAGAAAATCCGACTGTGGCCTTCAACTCGACATTTCGATATATCGACGACGTATTATCAATTAACAATAGTTACTTTCATTCATATGTCGACTCGATATATCCCAGTGAGCTTGAAATAAAAGATACCACAGATTCAGACACATCTGTTTCATATTTAGACATTTTAATAGAAAATGACGTTGATGGTAATCTAACAACCAAGCTTTATGATAAACGTGAAGACTTCGGCTTTTCAATCGCCAAATTCCCTTACTTATGTAGCAATATACCCTTATCACCTGCATATGGGGTTTATGTCTCTCAGTTGATTCGATACACAAGAGCACGCTCTACGTATGAACAATTTCTAAAACGAGGCAAGTTACTGACAAACAAGTTGATGAAGCAGGGATATCAACAGTCTCGTTTGAAGTCATCTTTTCGCAAGTTTTACGGTCGATACAATGACCTTGTCAGCACATACAACCTATCATTGAGTCAAATGCTGACTGACGTTTTTCATACTAATCGTTAGGTCATTATTTATACACTGAATTGTCTACGGATTTTTTTTCCGATCATGACAAGGAGCTCACGGCGGGTGTAACCGGTCGGCAGGGGAAGCTCACTCCTCCATGGCACCTGATCCCACCTCTAAATTGTGAGGTCCGTGTTTGTCTGGTCCAAATTTGTATCGTTTCATTGGACTTTCGAGATTGAATTTTGTTCGTTTTTTTTCATATTTCATTATAAACATTTTAGTACCACACACACACACACACACAAACACACATAACCATCCAGCAAGGCACGCAAGGTGCATGAAAATCAAGTTTTAGGGCTAAATCACTCCCCGATCAACTACATTACACAAAAAAATTAGCAAGCCCTAAATTTTGAATGAATCTGAAAAAGAACTGGAAGTTTACATATAGTTTTTCATCTCATAAAGAAAATTAACTCCAGTGTCATGTACAAATGCTCGAATTGGGAGGGAAAAATTCGGTGGTGAACCACAACCGAAATACGTTATAACACCTTTAGCCATGTTAAATTCCCGTATACTTTAAAATTGCCGCTATGTCCATACACTAGTTTAATTCAGGGATCATTTTAAAGCAGTATTGGTAAAATGATCTATTGATTGAACTTAGTTTGAAAGTAAAGGTATTTATGTATTTTGAGATATAATGCCAAAATTGATAACGTTGGCACCTTGGGACAAACGATATCTCTTTTAAACTGACTTACAATCTCTTCGGCAACAAGAATGAAATCAAGATTCTTAGACGGTGATGATTGTTTCTTGAAAATTCATTTGAACCGCGAAGTAGCAGAGGTAGAGGATATTCAATGTTTTGTTTTTGGATATGGAATATAATTTTTATTCAAGAAATAAATCACAGTACTTCACTATTGAAAATGTAATAAAACATTAAATTCTACTTTGAATAAGTGCAGTAACACCAGTCACTAAAATCAGAAACAGGTTAAGAGTATTCTGTATCAAGTCTACATGTAGATTTTCATTTTATACGAAAAGTCAGTACGTACTATTGTCAAAATTATTTACAAATAATATCATTTCTTAGTTACTACAGCACAAATAGATTTGTATGCATTGCATCAATTAACAGTCTCCCGCGTGGCGCAGTGGTAGAGCGTCTGCTTCAGAGTAGCGGAGTAAGGTTCGAATCCCACTGTGGGACGTGGAGACCGGTCCTTCAAATGAGACCGTATAAATCGAGGTCCCGTGTCTCAGTAGATGCTGGCATGAAAAAGATCCCTCACTGCTCAATGGCCCTGAGTGCCGAGTATATGTCAAAATATGTAGCTCTCCATCGGCAAATGGTGGCGTCTCCATATGAGTGAAAAATTCTCGAGAGGGACGTTAAACAACAAACAAATCATCAATTAACAATAGTTACATTCATTCATATTTCAACTCGATATATCCCAGTGAACTCAAAGACACTATGTACAGAGTCTGCCACACCAGTTTCATATTTGGATGTTTAACCGACAATAGACGATAATGGCCATTATAACTAAAGTTCAATTCGTTTTGTCTGCACACATTAATGAGCACAGACTGACAATACTGGTGAGTTGGATTTGCTTTCTGGCACTTCTACTCTTAACTTTCTGGATTACAGTTTTTATATTTTTCATTAATACACAACAAAATTTCTACTTTTCTTAAGTATTATGGATTAAATTTACTTTGTGAAAGTGCAAGGGTATGTGTCAATCAAACGCGTCCCGAATTTCGTAGTTTTAATAATTTTGAGATCAAAGACGTTTCTGAACATGCTTTTAATATATCTCGGTGTGAAATGCTCTAGGAATATATAAGTCATGATATTATAAAGAAAATTTTAGAAAATATGAGCGTCAAATCTGTGTTCCAGGCACCTTTAATGTCTTACACAGTTAAATAATTGAAAATAATGTAATATATATTAATTGCTATAAATGTTCAACATGTTTTGGTTGATGTTAATCGTAATCTTGTTTTATTTTTCAACTGTGGTGGTAAAGAGACTGAATTCTTCAATCCATCACACATATTTAGACATAGAATGCAATGCAACAATTTCCATAACACCGTGGTACTGTACGATACTCTTATTTATAATAATAGTGTTCGCATTTAATAAAAGAAGTGAAATACCTATGCATGACATGTGTTTCGGAACGGAGAAGTCAATAATGATTGAAAATATTGTTAAATCACTATCATGGAACCATTCGGAAGACTTCGATTAGAGAGCTGAAGTCTAATATTCTCCTGACATAGATTTCGCCTTTTGTATCAGAATTCTTTAACGAATCATCCTCGTTCTTTGCAATGTTCTTCATACAGCAATCTAAGAAACTTTAAAATTTATATTATTATCTCGAAAGAATAAACAATTCAGAATGGCAGTACCTGTCATGACTTTATTCTTATTTAACATTATAAGGTAATTACATAATAAAACAATGGATCAAAACAATGGACAGTAATCAAGTATTATAGCAAGTGTCAATGAGTAAGCGCCGATCCTCAGTCTGGCATTCGGCGCCTAGAGCTTGCAGAAACGAGGAGTCATATAGTGCTGACAACCCTGGAGGTTAAACAGAAGTTGCCAGCGATGGCTTGTTGCAAAATTCTGCCAAGTGGATTGCTGTACGCGAATTTCGAGACAATAATTCATCCGCCAACAAGTGGCGGACAATTTGGCAAACAAGACATCATGTCTAATGCAACACGATGATTAGCAAAACAATTCAATGCAACATACAAGGTAACAACAATGTATAATCTGGCAAAACAATCCAATACAACATACCAGTATATCATCAAGCATGAACCGAGGGGAAAAATGGGGGAGGGGGTGTTCGAGAAAATGAGGAATGCAATGCACATGTGTCTACCATCAGAAAATTGGGAGGGTGTGTTGGGATGGTATAATGGAGCCATTCGCAAGCCATGAACAAATCTGCAATGTTCTTAAGGGGAAGAAGGACCTTTAGCTGAAAAAATACTTGTCATTCAATTTTTTTTATATTTTGTATATTTCTAATTAAGTATGTCCCACATATCTTAAAGCAGTTATATCATTAGGTTTCTTACCTTATTTTAGAGATATTGATTGACAAATACTATGCCCTACAGTATCTAAGTGGAGTTTTAATTCTCCACTTTTCCGGGCTCTTTACTCTGACCATAATGGGATTTTTAAAGCATATATAAAAAATATGTAAGTGAACATGTATCTTTTAAAATATTTTAGAGTTTGAATAGGGTTTAAAATTCGAAAAAGCAAGTTTCTTCTATCACACTGCATCTGGATAGGGAAAATTACGAACTTTTTAACACAACTTAAACAACAAAAAACGTAATTCACAAAAAATTCTATCATTCAATATTTTTAAATTTACGTTGAAATGCAAATCCTTCTAATTATTGATTAACTGTAAAAATTTCGAATGGTGAAGCTGACCTCAATATTGCACAGGGCATCGTTAAAGAGGACATAAGCATGACAAAAACGTGTCATGTTTACATTTCTCGAGTACGGGAAAAACCATCTATGACGTCACACGTAAGCTAAATAAGCGAAATAAGATATACCTACATAAGATTTCCGTCATCAGCCATGCAAAAATAATTTTTGTGCTCCCGTTTCTCAAAATATTTCATCATATACTGATTATGACCTGTTTTTACATAATAATACCGCCCCTGTATTCACCGAGTATGATCTTGCTGTACTAACAGATCGTGTATGACGTCACCGACGAATTGGACACGTAGTTTAGGGAAACAGAGGAGTGGATCAATCTTTTTCATAATTTGTTAATGTTTGGAAGAATATTAAACTTTTCATTTTTTTTAATATTAGATGGTAATTAAAGAAAAAAATGGTCAAAAAATTATACAAGAACTGATGCTTTACACGTTTTGCACTTATATAAACGGAGACTATGACGTAGTTAAACAGAGTCACGTGACCATGTGTCCTTCATCCCCTTAATACAGCAATCTAAGAAACTTTAAAATTTATATTAATATTTGTTGAACTAAAAATGATCTTAATGTCTTTATGCCTTGACAAGATCTTCAGAAAAGCGTCGTGACCAAAACATTACTTTTTCATGTCTGTCACCACGTAGAGACTCTTAAAACACGGTAATTGTTTGAACATAGACAATAATTTCTCTTCTTGAACTTTCCACACGCTTAATTCCTTTAACACAATATTGAATATCCAATGAAAATAAGGCTTCTCTTTTATAAAAGTAAGCTGTACTAGAATATTGTTTAAAGAATCTTCTCGCTGCCTGATCATAAACGATCTTTCAGGAACAATCAAAGAAGTAAAATGAACTGTAGTAAGTTCTTTGAGCGATTAATGTACGAGATGTACACTGGAGAAGAACACAACGAAACTGAAACCGATCTACTTATTTCAACGTTAGACGATACCAGTCCATGTGGACAACAAAATATTTCTGACCAATATACACAGCTGTATACGACATTCCGCATTAGTAAACTCATCCTTCTGTATGTCTCACCTTTCATTCTATTCTTTGGAGTCTTTGGAAACCTTTTGTCCTTCATTGTCTTGCAACACCAGCGGAAAAAGGTTTCGACCTACTTTTACTTAAGCATTTTGTCTATCGTAGATTTGGGTGTCTTGCTAACCGGACTGACAAGAATCTGGGGAGAACAGTTAACAGGGAAAGATATACAGGATTTTTCGGACTTAACTTGCAAGTTGTCCATCTTTTTCGGGCACCTGTTTAGCTACGCGTCGGTTTGGATTATCATAGCAGTGACAGTTGAGAGATTTGTTGTAGTCAAATATCCATTTCGTAACCTATCGAAATGTAGAATGCGCAAGGCAAAAATTTCATGTGCTATTATATTTACTGTCATTTGTATCATTAATGTACATTTTTTAGTGCTTGCTGAAATTCAAGTCAAAAATGGAGTTCCGAAATGTGCAATAATACCCTCTTCCTCAGCACTTATGCATGATATTTGGCCATGGATTGACGCAGCAGTATACTCATTTCTACCATTCTCAATTTTAGTGGTGCTAAACAGTGTTATTGTTCATTCTATTTGCAAAGCAAAGAAAAGACGAATACGTATGATGTCCTTTAACCGCCGATCAGTAGAATCTCCTTCCATTTCAAAATTTTCCAAAGAAAACAGAAAGACAACAGTGATGTTGTTGGCATTATCGTGTGCCTTTCTCCTTACTACATTGCCAATGAATGTAGCAATTATCATTAGCAGTTTTTGGAACAATTCTGTCAATCGGACCTTTGAAGAACTTGCCAAGCTACATTTAGTTAAAGCTATAGCTGAAATGCTAATGTATATAAATCACTCAATTAACTTTCTGTTTTACTGTGCACTTGGTGAGAAATTTCGCCGAGCAATGTTCAAAATTGTTAGAATTATGTGCAAACGAAGAAATGAGTCTGTTAATCAAGTGATTCGTATGGAAACAACTGGGATCAGACGTTTATCTAATGCATATGTTACAAAGAATTTGATATAGTGAGTTGTATCAATAATAAAAGTTGTAAAACTCTTTCATATCTTTTTAAAAATCTTTCATATCATTCTTTATATCATAAGGTCAATTGAACTAAAGATACTAAGTAAAAAAAATACCTGTAAAAAGCTGAAAAGGTAATTTAACTTTTCAAAGGACTTTTTACTCTTTCATATCTTTTTTTGAAATCTTTCATATCTTTCTTAATATCATAAGGTCAATTGAACTAAAGATACTAAGTACCTGTAAAAAGCTGAAAAGGTAATTTAACTTTTCAAAGGACTTTTTACTCTTTCATATCTTTTTTTAAAATCTTTCATATCTTTCTTAATATCATAAGGTCAATTGAACTAAAGATACTAAGTAATAAATACCTGTAAAAAGCTGAAAAGGTAATTTAACTTTTCAAAGGACTTTTTACTCTTTCATATCTTTTTTTAAAATCTTTCATATCTTTCTTTATATCATAAGGTCAATTGAACTAAAGATACTAAGTACCTGTAAAAAGCTGAAAAGGTAATTTAACTTTTCAAAGGACTTTTTACTCTTTCATATCTCTTTTTTTAATCTTTCATATCTTTCTTAATATCATAAGGTCAATTGAACTAAAGATACTAAGTACCTGTAAAAAGCTGAAAAGGTAATTTAACTTTTCAAAGGACTTTTTACTGTTTTATTGTTAATCTTTATTTTGATATCTTTTTTAAAAATAAGAAGAGGCCCTTGGCCATAGCGCTCACCTAACCTTCGTCCTGCTGTTCCACAGAAATACATACAAGAATTGTTTTCCACTTTATTCCAATGTCAAATTTTGAACCCATATTAAGATTCTTTCCGAGCTGCATAGGGTCAAAACCAAATTTGAATCCTGAATGCTACAAATATATCATATGAGTAAAATGCAAACGATTTCGCTGACATTTGCAGCAATAAACAACAATTAACTTCAAAGTCAGATCTGATTTAACGTCATCGTAAATGTAACTCCAATCATGGATTGTGTTCAGGGTCAACTCTTTCATGGCTCTTCTATTTCTGTAACGTTCGGATACAGGATATTACAATTTACACACTTTCGACAAACTTTATTGAAAATGACTAGAAGACGAATATAAATGTATCACGGATTATGACGATTACTAATACGAGTTCTTTCCTAATGTGGTTTATTTCAATTTCCAGTCATAAATTGACTTTCGTGAAACTTTTTTTTAAAAATACCTTGAAGATAGATAAGAATATATCATGGGATATGATCGTTGCTAATACGAGGTCCTTCCTAATACTAGTATTTTCCAATGAAGATGTGGCTTATTTCAATTTTACATTGAAAAATCTGTACTCTTACAAAACTTAAAACCTGACATACCATTCGAAAAAGAGAAACAATATTAATTGAAATACGATTTGGCGACGTCAGCAGCTTTAGTATTATACTGAAACCATACAAAATAGGCATGGACAGAAACTTTAATAACCTAATAATTTCAAACAGGTTTCATGCCGCAAAATGCGTGTTGTTAAAGAATTATTTATTGGACAGATATTCCAGGTCTTTCGATAATAAATATTCATGAGATCTTATATTTACATGTATTTCATGCTAGATAACTCGTACGTGTCGAATTTATAAATGTCCTTGAAAACGTTATTTTTGAACTTCCAACAAACAGGTTTTCAAGTTAAGGAGGTTGGATCCTGCTATCAAAAGTCTTAAGAATTTTTTAACAATTATATTTTCAGTATCTTCACATAGAGCTTAATTAAAAATCAAAACAGAAAAAGTGGGTCAATACTTTTCGGCTCTACAGTGCATTTAATACGACCTTTTAGCACTGAAATTGCGTCTTAAACACAAATCACTCGAAGTTTTTTTTCCCTCCAATATTTTTATATTTTTTATTCAAATAGATAATGGAGTGAAATATACTTTTATTCTATCTTGAAAAGAATTAAAAATTGTGACAAAGAAAAATTCAACTTACTTTGAATAAGCTGTTATTTGACATTTCCGCACTCACAAAATGTCATTTTTCTGGCATTATAAATTTAAAAACAAGAAACTCATTATTTTTTAGTTATAACTGAAAAACTGTTAATTTTATGTTAAAATTGGTCCTATTTTTCCTGGACTTCCTGCACATATTTGCTATATTTGTCACTATATGATGGTAGAATTCATAAAAGTAAATTTAATAAATATTTCAGCACCAGCATTAAGCATTTCACTGAAAGAAAAAAAAACAACTCAGCATGTCTTAATGATATATTGTATTTGCTGACAAGGTCATTTTATCGATCATAGAAATTTACGAAATGATGAATTGATATTCTTGTTTCATCAACTTGTTTTTGAATAATACACCTCGTTTTAGAAATTGTTCATACGTAGAGCATACTCTTGCGTATCGAATCAACTGAGAGATATACACCCCATATGCATGTGATGAGTATATTGCTGCATAAGTAAGGGAAGTTGACGATTGAAAAGTTAAAGTCATTACGTTTATCATAAAGTTTTGTTGTTAGATTACCATTAATGTCTTTTCCTAGTAAAATACCCAAATATAAAACAGATGTATTCGAATCTCTTATATCTTTTATTTAAAGCTCATTGGATATCAGGTAGACATATGAATGGAAATATCTCGTGTACCAAGTATTTAATAATTAATTAAATCACATCAAACTGTAATGGAAATAGCATCTCAAGAAAAAACTAGTACTAATGGAGACCGTTAAAGATATTTTCGCCAAACGTCTGGATCACTAATATTTATGTTTTGATTTTCAAAGCATTTTCATAAAAAAATGTTTTTAAAAAAATTACATCAATATCAAGTAATTCAATCACTTCTCGCATTGCACATGCACGCACGTGCATGCAAAATGGCCTTCGTTCCGCAAATCTACACAACATGCTTAGTAATTTAAGTACCTAGGAAGAAGAAGAGAAATAGAGTAAAAACAATATGTTCCCAAACTTCGTTTGGGGAACATAAAAAGAAAACCTATTATTTTGAGCTATCATTTGGAAACATCTTTCATTGAAATCACGATTCAATGTCTTGTGAAGTCTTGTTGACTTTTTTTATCTGACAAAAACTTTGGGAGGCTTTCCTAAAGTAATCCATGTAGGCGGCGATGTGTAATTATCATTTGTAAATTTATAGGAATAAGTTTAAGCCTTTTTCAGAGTTCATTAATTTTCTACAAATATTTCAAACTCTGATAAAATGTATTTTAAACAGATCTACACTGTAAAAAATGATGTTTAACTTGTGTTAATTTTTAAACAGTCGTTTTACAATTAAACATAGTGGGTTTAAATACAAACCATTAGCGTTTTATAAATAAACACTGCTATTTAAACTAGTGTTCAATTAGTATGGTGTTTAATCATCCATCTTAAACATGTAAAGTTCATAAGTATTAAATCAAAAATTAAATTAGGTATTGCTTCTCAGTATTGCTGTGTGCATTTGCCATTTGTATAATTTCTTAATTTATGATGTAATTCCGCACATAATAGTAGATATTTTTCGACACAGAAAAAATACGAATAGCCAGGCAATATGTTGACTTTAGATTATACCAAAAGCAATTACAAATAACATTAAATTATAGTAGTATTGAGCCAAAAATTCATAATTTTCATAAACTGTTAAAGAGGAAAAAGAAACAAATATTATGATGACTTTTAGAATTGTATCAATATTTTAAGCACCGGTGTTTACACGAGTGTTCATTTCTTAACCATCATATATTTATAAATTAAACGCATGGTATTTATATAGAAATTGCAAATTAAACACCCGTGTTTAATACGTTATGATAGAAAATGACGCAATTGATTATGTCATAACATGTCATTTGAACGCAGAAGATGCAGAATCGTGCATATACTGACAAGAAACACCATATCTAGGAAGGAAACAGGAGGTATTTATACATTTCTTTATATAAAATCGTTAAAAAAGAATGTTAAATACATTAAAGATCTATAATGCTTTTCATTTATGAAATGAAGGATTGTTTCCTATCGTTAGTAATCGTCTGAGTGCAATGCGGCCATGCGAAGCGGTAGGCCTAGACGATAAAATATTTGTAGTCTTTTAGTACTTTGTGACATCTAATTAATTTGCAGGGACGTTCATCTGTTATTGTGAATCCTGAGAAGTATACATTACTTGATACAGGAAAGGGATTTTAAACGAAGATCATACTTAACCTTGAGAGGTGAGTTTAAAGGGCATTCAAAGAAAAAGGATCACCCCCCCCCCCCCCACTTCCACATACCTTTGATTCCTGGTATGTAAATGTAATACCTGCCCTTGATAAAATTTATGCTCCCTATCACGCATTATTATGAGTATTTGCTGACCATACACGACACATTAGCGTTTACAACATGCAACAATACTATAATCGCGTAAGTACCAACAATAATTTTCATCCCCAGCCCGCGAACTTATAATTTAAGGAGACTTTATATTTTGGGGGGAGTGTGTTGTTTACATGATAAAAAATGCCTTGGATAACCCCCTTCCCCTTCTCTTAATTGTTGCTGTTGGGCTGCTCCTGCGGGTACATGAACATTTAAATTTTTTTAGTGTATACAAAGTTTGTACGCTTATATGATTTATTTGTATTGCAGAGTTTTATTCCAAACTTGTTTCTCAGTATGTATTATATTATTAAAATTGGCGTGAAGAATAACAATTTTTTTTCGATCTCAATGTTTTCTTTTACAGAAAATTATCTGAATTTGCATAGTGAATATTTTTTCGATTTCATCTATCTATTTTTCAGGATATTTCTGATGAGAATAAGGAACTAAAACTACTTGGGTGAATAAAATTTTGGAGAATGGAAAACTGGAGATCATCATCCGTGGCAGAAGAACCTGAATTTTACACACAAGCAGAGGAGCCAGACTGTTTAACTCGGTTAGAATATTATATGAAAAGTAAGTGATACCCCGGCAGCTCTTGTGTACTTGCAAGAATAGTTAACGAATTAGTCCTTTACACGTCAAAATTGGAAAATTTCTTCATTTGGTTAAAACTTTGAATATTAATGAAAGTAAACTTGTCACATGTATAACTGGATTGGTTAGTGTAATACATATATATCCCGTACCCAGACAACAAATACCATTTTCAGCCTTTTTGCATTATATTTATTTACGAATGTTTTATTTTTTAAAAAAAGGATGTAAAGGACACCCTGGCCCTTTTTTTAAAATAATGTTTCAAAATTTTACGCCACCAATTTTATTGGATTTTAGTTCACATGCAGGTTTTACATGTTCATGCTAGTTTGTTTTGATAATTCTATATTTCAACTTGAATTAAACTATGTATCTGTGTGTTAGCAAATGTGTTAATTAATGTTATAATTCTTTATAAAGTTTGAATCCCTATTCAACATTAAATCATTTAGTAATTAAGCTTTATGTACATGTTCATCATCAAGCACATTGTGTTTTGTACTGTTTTATGTTTGTTTCTAATAAAAATGTTGAAAACTTTTAAACACGTTTAAGTGTTTATTTATTTGGTAAATTAAACACGTTGAAGTGTTTAAAAATTGACGTATAAACATGTTTAAGTAATTATTATCTGTTGCATCGAATAAACATGTTTAAGTGTTTAGGTTGAACATGTTTATTAATAAAACATGAAATGTTTAAATTTTAAACACATATGGTGTTTATTTAGTAAACTCTTTGTGTTTATTCAGTGTTTAATCTTTAAACATTTTGTGTTTTTGAAGTGTTTAGTATTTAAACAGAATGAGAAGAAGTATTCTTAAATGTTAAACCTTATGTGTTTAGATTTTAAACATTGTGTTAATTAAGTGTTAACGTGTTAATTTCTTAAACACTTCACTTAAACGCGTTAAAGTGTTTATTATCTGTGGCAATTTGGTGTTTATTTTTGCAACACTTATTTTTTACAGTGTAGCCAATGCACTAAAAATACATTTTTCAAACTCTCTTTTGAATGCATTAAAACACGATTTGCTAGCTTATAAATTAATGGAAGTCAAGTTTGTATTAAGCTTAGAGGACAAGGAGCCCATTTTATACACGTTTTTATCCATAACTTATCTGAATATTCCTCGAACATTTTCCTAGTTGCACTCTTTACAACTTCTACTGATTTGATACTCCTATAGGCCTACCTTGTTTTACATTATTCCATTTTTTTTTTTATATTTTAGCGTGTAGTTTGGGTAAAAAAAAAATCATATTGACATTTATAGTAGCATTTTATATTACATACATGTACATTATTAAATTACAAACATTTTGTTTCACAATAAGTAGTATTAATCCATATACATATTTCTTACACAATCTGTAACCCTAAACAATTATCTATATACCAAAGCTTAACATTTCAACAATAAAAACAACATCCACAGACAAGAAATTTACAAAACATTTATCTAAGAATAAAAGCGTCTACAATATGTGAGTACGTTTTAATGCTGAGACCATTACAGTGTATATTTCACTGCTATCACTTTTTGAAGTAACCACTCATGATGTAAAAGCACTAATTATGTAATGTAGAATCAGTGAATGCATTTGCATACGTAAATGATCTAAATTTATCATAAACCCAACAATCACTAACGATACATTCTCTTTTGGTACAAATTAAATATTTTATCCATCATGGATTGTCACGCCATCCACTTTCTGTTTTACGTAATTGTCCACTTATGATAAATATGATAGAAATAAGCCTTCGTTCATCAACCATTGGTACATTCTATTGTTGGTTGATTTGATGTCGTGTTAACGTTTTAGTCTGTATTTCACGACTGTTAGTCTGTGTTTACGTTGGCGCCTTTACCCTTTCTCCCTGACAAGAAAGCCGATTTACCTGTGGAAAGTGTGTTTTATAATTAATTGCTTGATTATTTTTCTGATCTCAACAGATTTAGTGTGCATCAAATCAAAACATTTGCTATTGAAAAAAATGCACACATAAATATTCCATTTCTTTTCCATTACATCCCATTGAATTTCTAAACGGCCATCAATCATTCATTACCAATATTACTTTCCTACTGAGATTTTTTTTCAAGTTTTATGGAATGTATTTATATATTTACCTGAATGATTACTTCGTTATTTTCCCTTCAAATTAAGGTACATAGGTTTAGAACTACCATGCTGTTTTGTTATTTAGAGGCGTAACTTAAGCACTTTAATTGTTGTTTCCCATGCATAGCTTTTGATTAAAATATAACTGTTAACGTTACAAACTCTTTCATTTTGGGAGAACATATCAGGATCCTGTAAACAAATGTACGAAAAGAAGAGAGAGGAAAACAAAAGAAAAAAGAAAAAGAAAACAAAACAAAAAGAACAGAAGCGAAACTATAGGGAAGCAAAAAGGAGGAGAAAAACGAAAAAGAAAAAAAGAAGTATACAAAAACTATTTTATTAGTACTGAATTTATCACAGTATCGATTTCATGGGTCAGTTTAAAGCACTTAACACGCATGTTTATGTATATTAAATGCTTTAAAATTTTACTACTACTTAATTTATCATAATTTCGAGATCATAGGTCATTTGACAGCATTTAATATACATGTACGAAATCACAGGCCTCAGAAGCAAGTTCCACTTTACTTCCGATGTATACTAAAAGCCTTTAAATGACGATGAAATCGATGTTATGATAAATTTAGTAATCAATACTAATAAAATTATTTGTATACATCTCTTCCCGTTTTCCTCCCTTATCTTTTTCGCTTTGTTTCGTTTCATTTCTTTTTGTTATCTTTTTAATTCTTTTCTTTTCGTAGTTTACAGGTACCGAAAATATCATTAAAAGAAGCCTTTAACATGCAAAACAATAGAATTTGTCTAGAAATTTTAATAGGAGTTGCAAGAGAAATGTACCTGCACCAAATACCTGTAATTACGATACTGGTTTATATTGTAGCATTTTTGACGAATCACATTCATAAGTTTTCAAGTAACTGTTCAATGCCATACAAAACGAAGAGACTGGGTAATAATCAAAGTACTTAGAAGTTATCTTTATACATTTTATACAAGCCAGTGACTTCTTAACACTAACAATAGTTATACAAAATACTATCCAACCATGGACGTATACACTATAATTAGTATATAGGTCCGTAGTCAAACTAAAGAAATGGATAACTATCAAAATACTTACACTTTATACAAACCAGATACTTTTTACATAACACTGACTGATTGTACAAAGTACTATCAACATTGATCTACTTGGTTCTAGCATTTTGTTTCTAATTAGGGTTTTAAAACACTAACAGGACCATATATCTTAACATAGAATACAAGTTTGTTTCATGTTGAATGATTTTTAAAAAAAACTGCATCACAGAGAGCTTGTGGTTTGTTTCTGACAATTCATTTGTAATTTCTTTCATATAATGAAGGTATTTTGCAAGTTACTAAGAGTTGTTATTCTGTTTGAATCAAGCAGTGCTTATACAACAGATATCAAATTATTGTGCGATTACATCAGTGTAATTTGATGAAGACCCATCTACTCCTAATTATTTTTCATTGAGTATCTCCTTGTTAGAACTTTTAATCATGCTTGTAATTAAAAGTACCTTGTTGCATCAAGTCTAATTCAATGAAGCTGTTGAAAGTCTAATCTAAAATGAATTCCTTGTCCACTTTATGCATTGGATTTTTTGCTGTACTACTCTATATTTATGTTAGAGATGTTGGCGGACTACACATGCAGGGTTTACTGTTCTGACCGTCATCTAGGACAACAGTGTACCTGGTAAATCTCTCAGGGACATTTGTAATGTTGTCAAACGTTTCTGCTGGGCAGCAACGTACTTTCCTTTGGCTAAAAGAAAGTTGCCATGTCATTTACAAGAAACTGTTTTTCCAGAATTAGATAGCTTGTTAGTTGGAATACCTGGTCAAGTTTTTTAATGATTATTTTACACAAAATTCTTGTTGACAGAGGGATAAGCCATTCTGAATGTTTACTAACAGAATTGATAAGTTTGGGAAATACAAACGAAAGCAAATTCCAATTTTGCAGCATGTTAATGTAGAGACAAATATTTTTATCTCCTTATGAATCAGAATGTCCAAAAAAAAATCATAAAATTAGCAAATACATGTTTGTGTTTCAGTGTATTTGTGAAATTGGAAGAAATTTTTTTTTTAAAAAAAGCAGTACCTTATACATGTTTATTTACTATTATACCTATCAAGAAGTCAAAAACACTTACAAATCCATTCTTAAGCATGAATCAATTGTATGTGATTTTTTATTTAACTAAATATTTTAAAAAATACTTTTTAACTAAATAAATACGATATCAATGTTTGAAAATCTGTAAGCTGCAAAAGCAAGCACTTAGAAACTGTCATAAATTTTCAGCAATTAAAAGAGAGACAGAAAATTAAACTTTTTTGCTGAATTTTTTTTGTACCGTTAAATGCCTTCTTCTTTTTCCCTTTTTTCCAATGTATAACATTCCCTACTAGCATTAAAAACAATAAAGTCATATTATTTCTTGTACAACATAATTCATCTTGTTAAACACTGATGACTAAAATCAGTTTTCCAACATAAGAGTAACATTATATCTATGACATATAGCTATCAGAGTACATCAATTTCCCGGGGAGGGGGGTGGGGGTGGGTGGGGTCCTGGGCGAGTATCCATCCATCATTCAAAAATCTACTATCCAACAACACAAAGTCATAAAGTGACTGACTGCAGTATACACTGTGCAGTATCATAAAAATGGTAAGTATTAAAAAAAACAGGCCCTTGGGCAAAAACACTCACCTGTGTCATTTGACACTGCTGTTCCTTATCAGCATATCATTTTTTTTTTAAGTTTTCCTCTTTAATTTCATAAATAGTTTAATTCCACATTGTGGAACAAATTTGAGCCCTAAAAAACTGATTTAATTGAAGTTGAATCCAACACCATTTATATGCTTCATTATCAATGGGGTTGACATGGTCTTGCTGTTTTGTTTGAGATTTTTTTCTTGTAAACATGCACTATGTAATAATGCCTACATGTAACCCCAGGGCTCATAATTTAAAAAAAAAATGATTCCACGTTAATTAGGTATGTTTTGCTAAATAATATGATTTAACCTGATCTTGTCACTCTTAAAAAGATTTTCCGCTATAATCTCCGTTATAAAACACTGATCCCTAATTGTAGCCTCAATCTCCTCCCGAGGGTACTGATCTGAATGAACTTGATTCTAAACTACATGTACCTGAAGATGCTTGCACACATGTATCAATATGAGCTGTTCCTATTGTGGTCCCACCCTACCATCAGGGGCTTTTATTTGAACAAATTTGAATCTACACTACCCAAGGATATTTCAAATTAAATATGACTAACCGTGGTTTTACTTCTTTTAATGAGAAGATTTTTAAAGATTGTTTCCCTTTATTTTTCTGTGTAAAACTTTTATCTCCTAATACGTATTTTATGGACCTGCCCTACCCCTGGGGTCATGCTTTGAACAAAGTTAAATCTATTCTACCTAAGGGTGCTGCCATATCAAAATGACTAGTCTTGACTTTGCTATTCTTGACAAAAAAAGATTTTTATTTTTTTTTTCTTACCGTATATATATGTATTCATATGTAAAACGTTGATCTCCTATTGTGGCTCTGCCTACCCCCAGGGGTCATAATTTGAACAAACTTGAATCTACATTTCCATATTATAGACTCAATTGATTTGTAACGATTTTTAACTATATATTTCTATATAAATCTTTGATATTGTTGCCCTGCCCTACCCTTTGGGGTCATGATTTGAACACATTTGAATCTACATTACCTGATGATGCTTCTGTATCAATATGACTAATCATTGCTTTGCTGTTTTTGAAAAGATTTTAAACATCTTTCTATATAATTCTGGCCCAAACCTTCCTTGGGTTCATGATTTAACAAACTTGAATCTACACTTTACATTACAGCTTTTACATAAGTTTCATTTTTTTCGGCCCATTGGTTCTTGAGAAATAGATTTTAAAAAGATCTCGAAATGATCCTTAAATTTTCACTATAATTCTTAATTATCTCCACTTGAAAAAGGTCATGGTCCCGTATTTGCATAATTTTGGAAAAAATATTTAAATTAATGACTGGATTCAAAAGCTAAATAATGTTTATCATCATTTTCCTCTGAAACATAACAGATGCAAAAAGGAACCAAGTGACATCTCATATACATTACTTTTCTGGCCTTTATTTTAATTCATTGTGACCACTGCTGGAATCTGATTTATAACTGTGACCAAGTGGAAAAGTATGAAGTATTAAATAATTCAGCACTTAGTCAGTTACAATTAAACGTACCATACTGTATATAAGTTGAAAATAAGCATCAGAATATCAGAAATGAAACAGCCAAAATGTACCTATTGTTGTTTCCGCATCTGTGTGTAACACATGCACTTATGACTAAGGAATATTGCAGTTAACAGATAATTCCATGAGTTTATACATCTCACAGATTTAACAAGACAATTTCAAACAATGGGTACACATGAAAGTTCAAGATTCAAGAATAAAGTCATCTGTAGTAAAAATAAGAACTAAAGTACCAAAAATGTAACTGTTACCTGCTAATGTTGGCCATCTACTTTGTTTAGATCTGTTAACTATAATGTCCATTTAAAGAATTTTAATATTATTTATATCTATATGAATGAACAATGGCAAATGTGTTTACATATTGAACCTGAACTTAGTATAATTGAATTTTTTTGAAGGGTGGTCCTGAATAATTCCTTTGCTTCCAAGAAGCTCACATCAAAATATGGACAGATTTTTTCCGTAAAAAAGCTATGTTCATTATGTCAATTAGCTCTGCTTTTTTAAGGATGAATTTTTGATCAGTTTTATTGTAATGACAATGAATAAAAAAATTAAATAAAAACAGAAAGAGATATTAATGCACCAAACTCACTCCAAAATAGTCAACTTTCAAGTCAGCTTTCCATATTTATAGTTCAAATAAGCAGTGCTATTTACAATTCTTTAGAACTTTCTCTTAATAGATATGACATAATTTGATAAATAGATGTTCTTTTTATAACAAGACTCACCATCTGAATTTATTACTTCAATATATATGCTTTACAGAAGTATATTTGTAGCTTTGATATTAAGAATGTTAATAAAAGAAATCTAGAACTTTAACAGCAAAGAATTTTTAATACTTTACAAGTATCAAAAAATCTAAATTATTTTTCAACCTTAACAATCTCAGCATGACTTTCTGTCAGTGTTACGGTAGTGCACTTCCCATAAACAAAATTAGACTAACAGCAAATGAAGTTGTTACTATAAATAAGAACAGAAATCTTACTCTGAGGTTGGGTGATTCTAGATGTGATCCAAACAAATGGGTCAATGATTGCCTTCCTTTGAGAGACAGTGGCCTCAAACAGTTTTACTGTGGATTAAAAAAAGAACTAGTGTTAGGATAATTTGGAGAATGTTACAACTCATTGTTTTCTTTTTTCATTAAATGTTTATCATCCTCTGTTTAATCGCTCAAAAAAAAAATTAATTTAATTATAACAAATCTCAATGAAAATTCTGCTTTGTATAATTGAATTTCACAAAGTATCACCATACCTGGCTTTGCGGTGCAAAATTTGACTTGATTCACTTTTTACTTAAGAATATTTATGGGAGTAATATTCATTCTCCTATTGAGAGTTATCCCTCTCATCAAAGGGTAAATGAACCTTAACAGCAACATACTGTAAACATACTTTTTCATAGGATCATAACAATTTTTAATTCTGCGAAATCACAATCTCTGTTCAATCCATGGGTACAAAATTATGCGAATCTCTTGTACTGTATATACTCGCTTATAAGTCGGTTTTTTGGGAGTTAAACTTTGGTCCAAAATTCTTTATCCGACTTATACGCGAGTTATAAAAAGATTGCTATTTTAGCGGGTCAATCCCTCCAATTTAAGCTAAAAATACAAGCGACTTATAGGCGGACCGACTTATAAGCGAGTATATACGGTATTTCCTTTGTATGTCTCAAATGCATGCTGTGACAAATTTCCATGGAAAATTTGTAATTTAATCCCACATGGACATGGAAAAAAGGATGTTTACAGCACTAATAAATAAAATGTGCTGGGTAACTAAGAGCACTATAAGTATGTGATCACTATGCATGGAAAAGGATATTAAATGGCAAAACTTTCAGTTATACATGTGAATGACTTCTTTGGTAAATAAAATAAAAACAAGTTGAAGAAAGCAGTCAATAATCTGACTCTGAAAATAATCACTATTCCTTTTAACAGTTCCTTGTTGTTTATTTGTCTTTAACTTTCCTTCTGCTTTAACTGTACATTAATTTAATAATCTTTCAAACTCTGTTTCCTTTTGGATGTGTTTGTAACTGATATGATATTTAAAGAATACAATCAAGGAAAATAGTAGGACAGGAAGGCTAAAATAGTGATGTCATTTAACAATGAAAAAGGTAATAAAGCTTAATCATGTATGCCAAACAATATTGACAATGTATTTTCAGAAAGACGGTTACATTCAAAAGCCTATGCTGGGGTATTTTAGGTAATTTAAAAAAAATTATATTCAGTTCTCATAATCTACCATTTACCCAAGCCCAACCTGTCGTTTTTGATGCTTTATTACATTTTCAACAGTGAAATACTGTGATTTATTTATTGAATAAAAGTGATATTCTCTCACAGTGTGAAGGATACCAAAATGATATTCTCTCACAGTGTGAAAGGATATCAAAGAAAGTAAAAAATAATTTCTGGACTGTCATAAGATATAGTAACTTGATAGAGCTAAAACTGCTAATTTCTTCCCAAATATGTTGCTAAAAGCCATGCTATGTAATGTTTTCAATCTCAGAACTGCTAAGCTGTGACGTCTCAACCACTTAACTATGACGTCAAGCCAATGAAACTTTGTTAAGAAAAGACAGAGGCAAAGTGAAATTCAAAGAATGTAATAAACAGAAAATTCAATGTTTTGTAGATGAATATGGAATTTATTTCACTCGTGAGACAGGATTTTTTGATATCAAAAAATCCTGTCCCACTCGTGAAATAAATTCCATATTCATCTTCAAAACATTGAATATCCTCTATTTATTCAGTTTTCTTTTTCTATTCTTTTCCTTTTGCATCCAGGCTGTGGTATTTTGGGTGGGTGGGAGAGGGTAATAAAAATTATATTCAATTTTCATATTCTATCTATTTCCCTTTATGTCTAATGCCATGGTTATAAATGATATTCTTTCAGATTTCTGTTTTCATAAGGTCAAGGGTTTGTGTTTCTCCACACAAGTCCTTGACAGAAGTTGCTATTTAAAAGTCAGGCTAGAAAGCTACTATTTCATTTGTTCCCATACTATGACTGGGAATCAATCAGAAAGCAGCCTTTACAGTAGATAAATTTTGTAAACAAATATGACTTGTCTTTAAAATGGAAAGTGACATTATTGTTGGATTTGTGATTAGTTACCTCAAATAAAATATCCAAGAATATTTTAGAAGATCCTTCTCCTAACAATCACAAAAGATGTGCTATGGCTTTTGACCTCTTGAAAAAAATGAATTTGAAAGATATGTTCTCATAGGTTGGTTTATAATTAACCATTACATCATGTGTAACCACAAGTTCAACTTTTAAATAGTGACTTTTGTCAAAGGTTTATGTAGATGAATGATATTAAAAACATTGTGAAGATGTCAGTTTTCCTATTCTACTTTTTCTCCATTTGTGTCCCTGTTGTAACATTTTTAAGTTATTGTCTGTGCCAGTTTTCTTTATTTTTATTTTTTGTGATTTTTGTTTGGTATCTCTAAGCAAAACAAAATTTTCTCATTTTTAGTTTTTTATTCAACCTTTTTCCCTTTGTGCCCATGCTGTAGTTACATTTAATACAATACAGTTGAACTTCGGTATCTCAAACACTGATATCTCGAATACCATGGATATGTTGAAGTGATTTGGAAGTCCCAACTACTTATTCTTAAAGTATTTTACCCTCAATATCTTGAATCCTCGGATATCTTGAAGTTTTTTCTTGATCATATCACGTTCAAGATAATGACGTTTGACTGCATTTAGTATTTTATTCTACCTTTTTCCCTTTGTGCCCATACTGTGGCTTTTTCTTTATCCACTTCTCTACCCTCTTGTAGGTCAACTTTGTTTCCAATGACTGCTATATGAACCTATAAACAAGGTGTGTTTCTGACTTTCAATGTCACTAGTGCTCCAGCAACTTGAATCCCTTTTTTCTAAGTGTATGAAATCTTTATCTCTAAAACATTTGTGTAACAGTAATTTTTTTTTCAGAACTGAACAGAATTAGGTTATGATCTTCTTGAATACTGCTAATGAAATATTAAACTTATCACATGTACACACAATATACACACAAGTACATGACTTTTTCTCATGAATATCAAAATTTATACTACCGTATTCACACATGTTTAACTTTTGTTGGTGATTAGAATTTAGAAAGGTATAGTAACATGTAAATAGGACAAACAGACAGACAAACACACAGTCAGACAGATGAGTAACAAGGTGTTCAAAGAAAGTGTCATGTTGTTTTTACTACAAAAAATGTTTATTATAAACTAAGTTTGACTTTTTTGATATCTGGATAATTTGCTGCTTTTAAAAAAAATGGAGTCTAGTTTGAAACTCTTTATGAATAGATTGATACCTCTCTTTTGTCTTTAAACCTGTCAATATCTTTTTTGATTCTGTCCAGTTTGTGGAAGGATTCCATGTTTGTAACATCATAAAAGAGCACAAAACCCTTAAAAACAAAAAGAAAAATATTATGATCAAGCATGGGGCAATTTTAAAAATACAGAATGTGGATTAAAAAATGATATGATGCCTTGTAAATTTAAAAGTGTTCAACTCATGAAGACCCCCTTAACTATGTATTATTACTGATAATTATTATAAATTTGAAAACCATATCACACAAGAACAAGGTTTATTTGGCCTTAATGCTCATGAAAAAGTACTCACATCAGGAAATGAAAAGTAATGCCTAGGGAGTTCAGATTTATTTTCATCCTGAAAAACAATGATGAATAAGTAGGTCCATGTCCTTTCAGTAATTAACAAAAACAGTAGTGAAACCTGTCTAATCCAACATGGACTGGGAGACATATTTTTTGTTGGAATAGACAGGTTTTTTGATTACATGGTGTAAAAAGATGGTGTACAATAGTTAAATGGGCATGAAAATAAAGGTTGGAATTCACAGTGAAATGGATTGTACAGGTGTTGGATTAGACAGTTTTCACTGTAAATGAACAAAGTTGTGCTTAATTTTAATATTGGCTGCTATTTTAGTTTTTTTGTAATTTGGTGTGTTTCTGAATACTTTTTTTCTGCAAAAATGTTATTGCTATGTTTTTAGTTCTTTATTTTCTTAATTTTTGGTAGGGTTTGTCAGCCAATTTCCAGAAAATGTATAGCCCTCTTGACTGCAAAATCGTGATAAGGACTTGCAGGATATAAAGAAATTTTAATAAGTCATTTGGTTAGCTTGAATAACTGAGCATGAAAAAATTAAGCTAGACAAAAATAAACACAGGTAAACAAACATAGCTCACCATTCTCTACCCAGAGTTGTCATTCCTGCCATTGCTCCCATTTAACCTCTGTCAAAGCTCGTTGTACAAAATTTCAATTAAAATTGTTACTTATCATAATTATTGCAATTATTGATAAAGATGATGATTTATAGCTTATTTTAAATCTCAAGGATTTTTAGAAACTACATTGCAGAGTAAAAATGAAAAACTGTTTTTAAAATCCTTTAAAGGGATGACAGATTAAAATAATTTCTTTTTATTGATAATCAAAATAATTAAAAACAATTTTTAATACAATTTTTCACCATTTACAAATTTCTATGAATCTTGTATAACAAACATTGACAGATGTGCATGTTGGAGCATAGTGGAAAAGACAACTCTGGATACAGAATGAAAGCTCACCTCAATGAGTGTTGTCTTTGAGTAGAACAAAATCTTACACTAAATAAATGTTCTAGTAATATGCATTCCTAGATTGCAACATTTTTGCTAGTTTGGTTGGGGTTCGATTTTTAGATACTTAGGAACAGACTTGTTCCAAAAACTTTTTTCTGTTCAATAACTCAGAAAAAAACAAGAGATTCAGCATTTGAAGCAAGTCTTGTAGAGTACATCCCTTGATGCATCATCCATGCAAGGGTATAGTACCTGGGAATAAACCTCTTCATGAAACTTTAATCTGGTAATTCATCCATAGAAAGGTCGGATCCAGAAACACTCTGGTAGTTTTATCCCTAAATGAATCATCCATATGAGTTTGCCAATGTTGGGCTTATAATTACTTAGGCATGGACCTGATCCCAAATTGACCCAAAACCTGAAAATGTAGGTCAGATCCAGCATCCCAAACAAGTTTGCTATTATGCATCCCTAGATACATCATCCATGCAAATTTAGTTGCCATAAGGCTTATAGTTACTTGGGAATGAAAACCTGCATTAAAAACTTTAATCTGCTCCTAAAACATTAACCTGGTCATTCTTATGGAAAATTAATTGCTGGAAATGCAGCATCTGATATCTAACTGGTACCTTGTAACATAGAAGATGCATCATCCATGCATCTCTAATCAATACAGGGAAAAGAAATACTTGAAAAGAAATCTGCTCCAAAAGCTATAAACAGGGATGCTGACACTGATGCCAATAGCGAGGGTTTTCAAAACTTTGCTAAGGTGAGCTAAAGAAAAATCTGCAGAGCTGTTTGTCCTATTCTGCACTTTTCAGTAAATTAAATGATTTCCTCCATAATATGAGCTTTTCACCTGTAATACATTGTTTGATTTTCTAATGATTTCTTTATGATAAGAATGATTTTTATTGTTACATTAATATCCGTTTTGTCAACATGTATCATGCATATAAATGGCAATCTGAATATCTATATATCAGTGTAATAAAGGTTTTTATTAGTGTATCCCTATCATTAAGTATGACATAAAAAATCTGGAGCATAACACAAAAGCTTAATTTTTGGAGGCCAATCCATAATTGGTATTTTGAAATGAAAATCCTTCATAAATATGTAAATTCCGTAATAGTAAACAGCTCTGACTCTGTAAATATTGGAAGACAGGGGAGAAAAGTATCAAGTTCCTTGAATTTTACAATAACATATTCTGCAGAAAGATTTGCTTTGATAATATGTAATTAGTTTATACTTACCAATGACCCAGTATCATAAATAATGACTTTCTCTTTGACCCCTCTGTCTGTTTCTATCATGGCAGAATAAATATCCTCTATGGTTGGATACATCTGCTACAGAATAAATTCATAGACTTGCATTTAATAAATAAAATGATTAAAAATGTTACTTACTGGCAAGGGTCTAATTAGTCTTTGTCCTACTGGTTTGACAAATTTAGTACATGTGCAGAATTTACAATATTAATGTTTGCCTCGATGAAGGTGCAGTTTCACTTTTTTTGGCAATTTGACACTGCTTTTCTGTGAAAAAAAATCCTGCTTTTCTGTGACAAATCATACTCCTATTTGTACCTTTGATAACTTTTTCAATGCTGCTCTGGTAAGAAACATTGCCATTATTTAAAACAATTGTTAAGTTTTCTGTATGTGTATCCACCATATAAATAAATTGCTTACCAACATATATTTCAGTACGAACAATTTCTATGATTTCTGAAAGCTATCACCAACCCGTGTGAACTGCGAAATCCACTATATTAAAATTTTATTGCCCCATCAGTTCATACTACTTCTGACTAGAATTCTATAAGGAAATACAGGCAAGTATCAGCAACCGTGCTAAGCACTACCCATGGCCATTAAAAAATTGCGGAAAGGAGGCATCAAATAAAGGACATAACACACAACATACAGTAAAATCCAATCGCAAAAAAGCAGTATAAGGTATTCATGGAAAAGAAGACAGGGGACCAAAATAAATCCTGGAAAAACAGGATGCCCTATATTGGTCTAATGGTCTATTAACATATTTACATATATTAAACTGTAATTTAATCTTACTGTCCCAACCACATGATTTCCATATATAAGTTGCTCTATTGCTGCTGTCTTTCCCACTCCTGCATGGCCACAAACCAATAGTTTACTGATTTTACCCATAATTCTAATGGTGGTTGACTGAATTTACAATATCATTTCTTTCTGTATGCTGAAGAATCAAGAAGAACACAGGATATCTGAAATGAGAGATAGTTGTTTTGGGATAATCATAAAGATTTATACAAAAAGTAGCAAGTTTAGGTATTATATATCTATATTTGGGGAGGGAGGGGGTAAGGACTGATGGGAAAACAATTATAGACAAACAAGATCCCTGCATTTGAAAAAAAAATAAGAACAAGTTTTTGAGACTCTTTTACACTGAGTAAACACACAATGCAAAAGTTAACTGAAAAAAATGAGGCACCGAAGCCTTGGCAATATGCAAAATTAGGTAAATCTGTTGAAGATCAAACTCATGTGATGCAGAGGGAAAAAAGTTATTAGCAACCCAATGTTTTTGTGTTTGGAATTAATTTGTATGCAACCTTAAGCTATTTGAGTAGGCCTTTCAAAATCTGCATCTTCATAAAAACAAATGTTATGGTCTTTTACAGACATGAAATTTCTGTTTTTTATATAGAATTTTTTTGCCTTATGAATGATAAGGGTCTATGTGGCTTGTGTCAAACTTAGTGAAGAGCACAAATTTAGTTATTTTCATTTTTTTTCTAGTGATAAGATTTTTATGAAACTTTGTATTCTGGTTTCTGATCTTTCTGATATCACCATTATTTCATTTCCATCTTAGAGCATTAAGCAAAAAGAAGACAATGTGATCGTAAAATTCTTTACGCAAAGTAGGTGAATCTGTTGAGCAGAGAGATTTTGCAAAATTTACAGAAATGACTTCATTTACCTTGTACCCCCATCTGACATACTGAATTAACGACAAGATAAAACTTACATGATTAATTATAACAATGTTATAATAAACGTCGGTTACAGTTATCAATACAACCCCATATTTACATTTCTCAACTTTAGATGAGGAACAAAAACTTTTTGGTTACTCAATACTGAAGATAAAGAAACTCTAAATTTTCTGGGCAAAGAGCCATAGCGCATTTGAAAGGCATTTTCGCCTACTCTGCTAGTGATTTCTTAAAGTGATATTTTGTTTAACCAAAATTTTGTCATACAATATTAGTTTATACATACGTAAAACCAAACCACACAATAATGATATTTCAATATTAATAGTTCCTTCATATTATAAATATGAAAATTATCCAGTTTGTATGGAGTGTATTGTAAATAATGAGGTATCCACCTAAAGATGACAAACTGTTGCCAAAGACCACCCTTAACAAGAAAAACAACTTTTGAATAATTTTATTTGGATATGACTGCACTTCATTACATTTAGATAATTTTGGTTAAAGGTGGTCTTCATATTGAAAATGATGAAAATATATATTCAAATTTTCTTCTCATATAATCATAAGATTTAGCAACCTGTCTTAAATTTATATCCGTTCGACGTCGTTGACTTCGTTGGCGCAGTGGTATGATTGCTGGAATGTAAATATGGTGATTGCGAGTTCGAGCCCCACATTTTTTTCATTTATGCTTTTTTTTTTTTTTTTTAAATTCTTTGTGTATCTTTTCTACGTTTTTCTTTATTACGTTTTATAATATGCATAATTTCAGAAAGTTATAATATACACATTACACTTTGAAAGTATCTCCGGAAAAGACAGTCCTAAACTATTTTATTAAAGTCATATATGGCGTATTTAACTAAAATTAAAATGATCTTTCTATTTGTTTTATTACTTTATATAAAGATAGGACTTTCCTGTAAATTACACAATTAAAATCAATCACGTTTCAAAGACATTAAAATTTAATACAATATCCGATTTATTTAACGACTCCGCATTTAATTAACAGACACAGTTTAAAATCAATTTAACTATGGAAACATTAGGTTATTCAAGTTCAAAATCGGTGAAAATTTTTATTTGAACGTAAAAAACATATCACTTTTATCTTCACTCAATCTCGTATTTTTATTTTATTTTTATTTTTTTTTTAGCTCAGATACACCATATATAGCTTTAAAGTTTGTAAATTCATAGCTGCTTGTTTTATTTTTATTGATTTTCTAAATCTTTTGTCTCAGAATTAGAGTATTGAACAAATTAAATGAATGTCATTTGACATACTCGCAACTATGAAAATATAATACTCGTCCTCAAACCATATTACATAGTTTGATCTTGAATTGAAAAGGTATATCTATAAATAGAAACAGGTGATTTCCTTTTAAATTCTTGAGTCGGCCGTGCCGTCGGAGAGGCAGCTATGGCTCTTTATAAATGACAACATGTTATAGTAGTCATACACTCTTATATATTGCATTCCTTTGAACAGGTTGGGCACAGTTCCTTTTTCGAGGAAGTATTACTATAAAACGGGATTATTACTCTTTTCAGTAATAAAAAAACATTACTGTATATGGGAATTTTCTAATATTTTTAAAACAATGCCCCAAATCTGTTTATTAAATAAAAAGTGCATGAAAAATACGATGTGATGTGTTTAAACTTTATTAAAACAACCTCGCTGACAAAAAAAAAATTTGGTCCTTTAGTGCTGCAGATGGGAGTAAGATGAGATTTAATCGTGCGACATCATGAGTATTCTTCAACAGATGTGAATATTTCCCTTATAAGTTATATTATTATTTGTTCAAAAACTGAAAATTTCATAGCTTGGTTTCGTGGAGGTGACATCTTTTGAACATGCATGGGGATTTAAACTCACATGCAGCAGTAATCCATGACTTTTACTTTAATTTTCCTTGTTGATAAATGATACGAAAAGTATGGAATCTTATAAGGGCATTTATGCTAAAACCATCTTTGAAAGACTATGTTTTAAAATTTAATATTTTCAAATAATTATTTTCATCTGTAAAAGAAGCAGTGGTATAAAAAATTACTTTCATGATGTCTTTGAAAGAAATGATATAAAATCAAAATAGAACGAATAACTTCAAGAACGAGTTACCAAGTGCTGAACGTATTCAATCTCACAATACGTTTGATTTCCATTAGTGAACTCTTCAAAATTAGAGGCGTGTTTGGTCGTCTGACTGGGACAGCATGGCGTTGCTGCTTGCGGATAATACAAAACATGCCAATCTCAATCCAATTTTAAATGTTAAATGTATTTGTCATTCCAATTAAAGAATAGAAGAAGTAAAAGACATATGTAAGAGAGCGAGAACCCTAAATTTATCATCCATTAATAAACAATACGACATTTCTGAGGCATGTGTATTGTGTTAGATGTACCATACAATAAATAGATACATACGATCAACAATAGATATAAATTGATATCGTTGTAATTCCTACTCTTGATGTATATAAAGTCCACAACAATAAAATATTTCATTTGCATTTTGTTAAGATTTGCTCATCGACATTCTACATATTGTTTACATGTTTATGTTACGTTTGTCCCAGAAATCCCACGAGATTTGTACATTTTCCGACTTTTTCACAAAAGAGCGCACTAAGAAGTATAACTCTTCCATAGTGGAAATAGAACGTATTTTAATGCAGATAAGCTTCCGTAAGAAATTTATATCGTAGAAATATTTCATAACTCTTTTTCAGCATTTTGTAGCTATAAATATTGTAGTTTTGAGAATACATACACTTAACAGACTATAAATATTTAGAGAATGTGAAAATATTCTTGCACTTAATCTTTTATTCAAAGCAAACTCGAGAATAGAGGGCAAATGAGTAAAAATTCCCGTATACAGTAATGTTTTTTATTACTGAAAAGAGGAATAATCCCGTTTTATAGTAATACTTCCCCGAAAAAGGAACTGTGCCCAACCTGTTTAACTTAAACAGTACAAGAGTATAGTTGAAATGAGCAATATGTCATTTGCTGATTATTATACTGTTCATTGGCATATCTTTTCCTTATAATTGTAATATTTTCATGATTTTATACTTGTCTGTTTTGGGCTCTAAATTAGAAATAAAATGTTCTGTTTTGTTTTGTTAAATCCATCGACTGTCAGTTATCAGCAATAAAATTAGACCTATCGATATATATATATGGAAAAAAAATGTAACCAGTATTTGAATAAGAAATTTAGATACTTACATGCTTGTAATAAAAATCGCCTTAAACCTACAAGAATCATTGTATATCATCAATTAAGTTCAGATAAAAAAAAAATGATTTCCCTGTTTTGCTCCGGAATTATAACCGGAAAAAAGCAAATGCACACTAAACAAGTAAGTCTAAATCGGTAAGAAATATTTAAGTCGACATACAGATATGTGCCAAAAGTGAAGATTATTTTATTTTTTCTCTATAACAAAATCACTGGAATGACAACAATTTTTGAAATATTTTACCACAAGTTTCTCAATAATCCTATATTGGATAAAAACAGTAGTTTTTATCTGATCAGCATCAGTATTTTTAATAAAAAATATTGTAATTTAAGTGCGACATGAAAATATAATGCACAATGAATTATATACTAGTAGTCAACATTGATCTTGAATTTTAGAACTGATGGTAAGTAACGAACTATCTTTTTCTAAAAACTAAATATGTAATGATCTTTTAGAAAAAGATAACTACACACTTTCTGGTTTAAGTACTGAAATAAATAATGAAATTGGACAAAAGTTGACCATTTGCCAGCAATTTATAACTATATGTGGTTTTCAATAAAATATATATGGAAAAAAATCTTCACTTTTGGCACAGATGCATGATACGTTCATGATTTGGTGTTACCTTGAGACTGACAAAAGTCTTCAGAAAACAATACATTATTTTAAAATTATTTTTTCAGCTTTTCTTTCGTCACTTCCCATGCATCTTTATGCTTATTACGTTGTATTATATTGTTAAGAGGTGTTCACCAACTGAGCTATCCGGTCACCGGCAATCAAACGTGTCTGACTGCTACAATACGATAAAAAAAAAATTCAGTGTATATTATAGTCTAATTTGCTGGTAATGACATGGCATTAACGGCAGTTGGAAATGTTGGATATTATGCATAACGGGCAATTTTATTGAATGAGTTTTGTTTGTTTGTTGTTTAACGTCCCTCTCGAGAATTTTTCACTCATATAGAGACGCCACCACTTGCCGGTGGAGGACTGCAAATTTACACCTTTACTAGGCACTCAGGGACAGCGAGGGATCTTTATCGTGCCAACACCTACTGCGACACAGGACCTCGTCCGAAGGACCGGTCTCCTACGTCACGCAGTGGATTCGAACCCGCAACGTAAGGATCAACTCCTTATTCCGCGACTGTAGAGCAGACGCTCTAACCACTGCGCCACGCGGGCGACCTTTTGAAGGACAGAAGATTCTAGACAAAAATTCAAATCCGCAAAAATAATGTTGAATGAGTTATAAATAATACATGTATCTGGCAACAGGATAATAAAGGAGTGAGAATTTGTACATTGTCTTATTATTGAATACACATAAAATTTGAAATGGTAATAAAAATTGTTCCCCTTTATGTTGTAAATTATAATTTTCAAGCGTCAGAATATTGAACATTCATTTTATGAATAAAAGAAACTTTGACTTAAAACTAAGACCACTTCATTCTCCTGGGTCCCTGGACATATATAGGACCGTAAGATTAAAGGAATTTCGGTTGGGGACATGCACATTCAAACAATTTCAGTTGGGAGGGGGCACAACATACAAAAATTCCTTTACAAGCAAAAAAATAAAGGGGCATAGCCATAACTGAAGTAACTATGTTTGCTATCGTAGAGAATTTCTTGGCAAAACTATTAATGCTGGAAGGGTGAGGCAAATGTCCTATACGGGCCTGATATAGTTCTAGAGATTGTTTTATCACTAAATAACGTTTGCTTCTAAAAATCCTCTGTTTTGTTTTCAGCGAAATGATATATCCTGTCGCTTAAAACAGATATGGAATAGATCTTAAGATTTTCATAAGATATGAGAGTTTGTGAAACAGCTATATGGTCAATCTTCAATAAATTTCGGTCTTGAGACAGATTTCAGTTATAAGATAGTTTTCTGAAAATTTTTAAGATCATTATAATGTACGGTGTTGTTACGTGCACGGTCAAGAGTTTACACGTAAGCCATTATTAGAAAAAAAATATATGGGAGATCCACAGCTTGCATGTTCAATGTAACCAATTTCAATTAACTATTATACCTATAAACACTAAATTTCGGTCATAGAATTTCCACCGGAAGTTAGGAGTACCGATAGCTCAACTGACCATGTAAAGTTTACGTCTCAGACTGTACATCTTTATTCTCAAGAACCACAGAGCTTATCATTCCAGTCCTATTACGAGAATCCCCCTGAAGTCTGCATGCAAATTAACGGTTATATGTGGAATTTTCATATTCTATATATGGTCTTCAATTGCATGCGGAAAAACATGAGTCTATAAGCTTTAGGGTTTTTCCCTCCATCGGGAAACTGATGTGTCGCAGCTGAGGTTTATTACATAATTTGATTTCCCCATTTGGGTGAGAGTATTCCTGCTTCAAATCAATGTCTAATGAATACAAATGAATTTGTTTTCCCAGAAAGAGGAATCACGATTTACAATAGACTATTTTAAATTTTTGCATTAATTAAATGAATCAGTATTTTATTAATGTGTTCTGAAATATTTTCAAGGTTTTTTTTATTTTCAGAGAGAGAGAGAGAGAGAATATGTGCCGTCAACTGGTAATGATCGTTTCGTGGACTTCTCAATAATTCACCAACAATTACTCGTGCTTGGAAGCACACGTTGGCCGTGCGGATGATGGAGTGTCTGAGAGACAATCCTTAGCGATTAATTAAACGACAGACTGTGTATGAGCAAAATTACAAGCACAACCGAAAAAATGTCATTAAACGTCGTAGTGGTTAGATTTCAATCCTCTTTGATGTTAATATGACTGAGAAAAAGCCCTCTTTGTTTGTATGTATGTGATAACTAGAAAGTTATAAGTATGACATACTCTACAACTGTATATACAAGTTACCGCAGTTACTGGTACTGAGTCATCCCTGTTAATTTTAAATGATAATTCCTAAATTGTTTTGCCATGAAAATATATCATATTTCATCTTCATTTGCTGAAGAAAGTTATTTACCCCCCCCCCTTTTTAGCTCACCTGAGCCGAAGGCTCAAGTGAGCTTTTCTGATCAAAATTTGTCCGTTGTCTGTCGTCGTCGGCGTCGTTGGCGTCGTCGTTGTTGTTGTCGTAAACTTTTCACATTTTCAACTTCTTCGCCAGAACTACTGGGCCAATTTCAATCAAACTTGGCACAAAGTATCCTTGGGTGAAGGGGATTCAAATTTGTTCAAATGAAGGGCCACGCCCTCCTCCAAGGGGAGATAATTACGAAATGGCAAAAAATTAATGGCATTATTGAAAACTCTTCTTCTCAAGAACCAGTGGGCCAGGAAAGATGAAACTCATGTGGAATTATTGTCAGGTAGTGTAGATTCAAGTTTGTTCAAATCATGACCCCCGGGGGTAGGGTGGGGCCACAATGGACGATCAAAGTTTTACATAGGGATATATAGGAAAAATCTTCAAAAATCTTCTACTCAAGAACAGCAAAGCTATGATAGGTCATATTTATATGGAAGCATCCTCAGGTGGTGTAGATTCAAGTTTGTTCAAATCATGACCCCGGGGGTAGGGTGGGGCAACAATGGACGATCAAAGTTAAACAATGGAGTATATAGGAAAAATCTTCAAAAATCTTCTTCTCAAGAACAGCAAAGCTATGATTGGTCATATTTATATGGAAGCATCCTCAGGTGGTGTAGATTCAAGTTTGTTCAAATCATGACCTCCAGGGTAGGGTTGGGCCACAATGAAAGTTCAAACTTGTAGAGAAAAAAGTCACAGTCAAAAAATCATGTAAGCATCCTTAGTTAGTGTAGCTTTAATTTTGTTCAAATCATACCCCCCCCCCCTCCCCTTTAGGGGTAGGTTGGGACCACTTATGCATTTAAGCTTTTCAATACTAAACTGATTTTTCCTCTTTTCCTAGCCACAGTGCTCAGGTGAGCGATGTGGCCCCTGGGCCTCTTGTTTTGTTTCGCGAAAGCGAAGGGGGAGGGGGATTAAATTTCATTCGTCTGTGATTCTGTCACAGAAACTTTAACTATGTTCTAAACTTTTGAATGAGAAAAGATACGGCTTTCATATTTTACATTACAAGGCCTTTCCAAATGTTCTATAATTTTTTACTCCTTATCCCTTGACTTTGAAGTTCAACCTACTTCTCAAAAATTTTATATTGGTGATAACTTTTGAATGAGAGAAGATATGGCCTTCATATGTCACATGTGCATTACCTGTGACCTTTTCGAATATACTATGCTTATTTTCCTATAATCTTAACCTCAAAGATTAACCTTTACTTAAAATTAATTGGTTATAACTTTTGAATGAGAGAAATTAGGGCTTTCATGTTTTACATGTACATTACCTGTGACAACTCCTTTCAGAAAGAACTATCATATTAGACTTCATGGCCTTGACCTAGAATTTTAACCTACATATCAGAAATTATAACTTTGGCCGTAATTTTGGCACCAGAAGAGACAAGGCCTTCATTTTTTCACATGTGTATTACTTTTTTGTGACAAAAGTTTTTGGATGTAAAATTTGACTTCATGACATTGATGTTTGATGCAATTTTCGGAATCTTTAATCTCGGCCGTAACTTTTTATTCATTCAAAACTTTACTATTTTTATGGTTGACAGAAAAGATAAGGACACGTATGCACCCCAACCAATAAAACATCGAAAGGGGAGGACCATAATTCTTTGAATTTGTTTGTTCTTCATGATTTCGAGTTGCCACAATTTGTTGCAGAGTTGCAGCAATTCTATGACATATGAAATAAGGTGGGTATAGACGTTTTTAATGTCACACCGATTGTTTCACCATATTTTGTCCGCGGGAATTCTTGCAGATAGCTTGAACAATTTTTGTGAGACTTCACAGTAATGATACTCAACAAGTGTAAACTAGTCGTGCATACAGCATTAAAATTTTCAAAATGGTTGTTATTGCCATGGAAACAAAAACCTTTTTTTTTTAATTTTGTATTTTTTGAAAACACTTCTTTCAAATCCAATACTAGTATTGCATAGTATAGTATACAGGGGTTAGTTCGCGTGACATACCGGTATGCTATTGATTGCATGCAGTAGCTAAGTTTCTAGTCTTATTTTCTTTGAATTTTCTGGAATCCAATTAAAATCTGTTTATTTTCTGTAAATCCAGCACAGTCATTCGCGTTTGTCAGCTTATTTAATACGAAAAACCTTACGGAAATTTGTATTTATTATCAAAATTTTCGATATACTTAAAAAAGATTTTAAACGTTAACTGTTATATAAGGATGTGCTTTTAGTTTAGATGTTTTGTTATTGAGTTAAAACCCATTTATTACCGAGCTTCAACATGGATATCACTCTAGCAGGTGCCCCTTACAAGAAGGCTCAATTGTTGTGTTTATCAAGCATTATCAAATTTATTCTGGCATTTGCTTCAGAGACCATTTATCTTTTTTTTTTTTAATATATACATTTACTAATGGTAAGCTTAGATTTCTCCACTGCTATATTTGTACAGTTCAGCAATGAACATTGCTTAAATAAGTTTTTTTTTTTTCGAAGCAAGTATATCAGAGAACCAAGTTATCATTATGACAGTTCAAATGAATGCGGAAAAAAAAAATCGAACTAAAAAATCATACTCTCAACAAAACAGGCCAAGATTTGAGCAATTTTCTGGCACACCATGAATCCTATTATATAAGGACTGGAGCATGATGCAAACCAACAAAGCAGCAACAGCGTATATGCAGTGCCAATATTTCAGCCCAAGTTGAAACCATGTTTTAATCTCTATAAACATGATAAGCACTCTGCGTGAAAAATTCTGCAGGTTTTGGAGAAATCTCGATGCAGAACCGTTAAGCTCACTTGGACAGAAATACCAGACACCTAGAGGTTCATCCATTGCATGTATTGAGCATTTAGTCCTACGAATTACGGCGACACTTTTTGTCGCATACTTCGGGTACGTATTATATTTCGCATTATATGCATTCCTTCACCTAAAGCATTGTATACTTTAATTAAACAAATATATTTTACTTCTACTCGTTTTACTTTATATATCTTCCACCCTTTCAACGCTTTTCCCTGTGGCTTCAAAGAAAATGGTCTCTGAAGTGGACAGGTACATGACATTTTAAAGTGTAGGTCTGAAATATATGGATTATTAATGGATGACATGCTTTAGGCTTGGGAATGCAGTCATAAATGTGAAAAGTTATACCTGAACCCTTGTGACACAATGTCTCGCCGTAATTTTTTTAATGGGTGGATCTGTAGCACTCTGTATGTCTGTTCGAATTTCCTTTTTTATAGCAGTGGCGGATCCAGGATTTTTGAAAAGGGAGGGGCGACCAGTTTGGGTCGGGATGGGGGCCCAGGGGCCACACCAAAAATTGATTTATTAAAATTTATGTCCATTTTTGGACACAAAAAGGGGGTCCGATCCCCTTGCCCCCCCCCCCCCCCCCCCCCAACAAATCCGCCAGTAGAGAGAGTTACTGGTTTGCATCTAGACCATACTGCTCCTACATGAAAGAAAACGTTCAACAAAGTATTTTATGTAATGTTCTTAACAACCTTTATTAGATAAGATCTATGCGCACTTTCTACATAATTATACACAAACATGTGTCATTATTCGGCAATCCTCTGTTACACTAAGATTTTCATTTGGTCTTTATTCATTATTCAACATTTATCAGAATTCTGTGACAGAGAATTAGATTTGACTGGTGATCATTTGACAAAGAGGCTTTTAAAATTCTCGTAACGTTACTATGGGAACGGACTTTTGCTTCCGATGATGAATTTAGTGTGATCATCATGGACACGGTTTGTCCGGAAATTAGTATGAACCTTAAAGGGATATTGGTCATAACTGACACATTAAGATTTCTTTCGATCAATCGACTTTTCTTGTCACCGCAAGATTGAAAATCGTTTAGTTTCATAAGAAAATTCTTCAATGGCTATGGAAGATAAAAATAATTCAAATGTATGCACAAAAACCCAACTTCAAAATACAAAAAAAAGCTATCATCTCTTTTTGTTCAATACCTTATCTATAATTTGTTTCCATGTTTAATCTGTGTTCTTGTTCTTATTTGCCTATTAATATACAGGTTTATTGTAAGTATTTGCCAATAAAAGAGTAATAGGTATGTTAGTTAACAGCGACTGGCAGTCCTGCTAACGATCTTCAATCTCCTGAGTTTATGGGAACAGTGTATTTATGGATACGTGTGTGATCTCGGCGTGGACAGCTCATGGCCAGGGTACATCTGTACTTGTATATTATGTACAATATCGTGCATCTATGAACAGCCGAGTCAGGCTTTATACTGAGTAGAAGGAATCAGATACACAATATAAACCTCAACACATCTTTTAAATAAAATAATGAAATTTTGAACATATATATATATATATATATATATATATATATATATATATATATATATATATATATATATATATATATATATATATATATATATCAGAGTTCTGCAGGATGAAATAAGGTCAACAGAGACAAAGAGATCATTTTTAAAATGCATTTCAGCATGATTAAACGCAACAAATGGTAATGAATGTACAATATCACGGTTTATTAAAACAGAACAACTTTGGTTATCTCAATCCATACTAATGGCGAGATAACGCTTGCAATAATCATTTAACCATTAACAAAAAGCAGAATATGTATCTAACTTTTAATACATAATTCAAAAAACAAGACTTAAATAACAAGATATTAGATATCATCCCCTTGTAAATCCGGAAAAATAGAAACCGCAAGAGGTGCTACTCCTCATCGACAGTTCCTCCAATCAAACAATGTACAATTATGCTGAAAGGATTATTTCAGAAAAAAATAAATAAAACTTGGATTTATAAAGGCAAGGATAATTCTAAAAATAACTCAGCCTATAGCATTACGACAACAAATTAAAAAGCGATGGAATTATACTTCTAAACATTATATTCAGCTTCTAGCATCAAAACAACAAAATTATTGCATAAACACATAACAGCTGCACATATATAAAGATTTAAATTGTTATACTATATCAATTATTGTCCTATGTACTCAGACAAAGGGAAATGTATTTATCAGTTTGTTGCATAAAGTTTGACACCGTGATGCCATTATGCTATGCTTTGATTTTAGGTGCCAAGAACCTTTCTTCGGATTGTCTCTTTGTTTTTGCATTTATTATAACAGTTACGACTTGCAGTGTTTGCCCCAATATCAGGACAGAGATGTCTACAAAAATTTTGTTTACGGTTTACAACATTTAACCTTGACAATAGAGTTACCTCTGAAATTGGCATGTTTTTGAGTGAGAGATTGCAGGTATAAATCAAAATGATTCAAAGCCAGTTTTTATGTATGACTGCCAAATAAAGGGATTTAAATGCATTTACACGAAACTTATCCCCATATCAGCAATAAATGACACGGGTATACGTGACTTTCCTCTCAAATATTATACTACAGTATCGACCACCAGTCCACCACTTAGATATATTGTCCACTATGTATTTCTCACTGCAACCATAAAATATACGTATGATATTGGAGCTTCAGGTGAAAAGCTGCTGCCACAAGGCAACCGATTAACAGAAGAAATGATGCTACTTAGAGCACATCTGATATGACAGCTGGCACATACTGCACAGTGATGAGGAAGTGGGGGTATTTTCCCAAAGAACAGGGTCAATGGCACGCTTCAATGATATTTCGTCATCTACCTGATAATGCTTAATGCCCGTTCTTTAAACTACAGGAGATTCAACCTAGTGTCGTTACCCTTAATGACACTATATCTAAACCTGGAGGTCATGCGGCGGTCTAAATAAATATACATTTAATATGAACAGATATATATTTTTCTTTATACATAAATAATAGATAATGTATATGATACAACACATAAATAATGCACCATGCAATTATTATGTATGTTTTTAAAACACACCGGGAATGGGAAAAAAATTTATGATTTTAAATATTAAGCACAATAGACTATCAGAAACTCTCATGAAAGGATTCCCAAAACTACAATAACGCGCGACTTCGAATATGAAAATATGTCGATACACTATCATTGTATCATAGCATCATAGGGGGTCTACGGAATTTCAAACTGCAGTTATTAATAAACTAGTACTTAATAATGTGAAAAAAATGTATAAATGTAAAAACTCTTGTTTGGTATGCCGTCTTTTTTCTTTTAAAGAAAAAAATCGTCGAATTCAGAAAAAAGTTTTAATAGTCATCAGGAATCCTCTCGATATTTAACAATATTATCTAGACAACAGCATTAAATGCCACTACAGGAAATGTAACCAGGAATCTCTAGATTCAGTTGGTGTAGTTTTTGCAAAACATTCAAAAACATAATTGTTTCCTTCATTATTATCCCAGTATACTATGTCCCCGACAGTGTAAGAGAGAGCAAATTCAAGTTTGGAACTTACACCCAAATCGGCAGGTGCGCATATGCTGAATGAAAATCTGTCTGTGGGACCGTCACAAGAATTCTGAACGTAAGACGCCATGATGTCATGATATGATCCCCAGGCATTACATGTATATCTTACCCGTACAACCTTGTGAAATCCTATATTGGCTACTCTCACTACACCTGTAATCGTCAGGTCCGTGACGATTGCGTTTTCTAAGCAAACTTTCTGCGCCAGAACTTTTTGTAAAAAGTTTTCTGAAGCCCCAGGTTGCTGGAAACAAGCATGTAGAAACCTCTTTCCAAAATCTTTCCTCTCAGTTTCAATACCAACCTTTAAATCGGCCATTGCTGATGCTGGTATTTTTGGTGGGTTTTCAGCATTCAACACGTGCCGAACATCTTCTAGGTCCAAACCAAGAGCATCCGCAAAACGGACCATCTTCTTACGACTAGGGGTGCCTGGTGGAGTCTTTTTAGCCTTCAATGACGAAGATTTTCTAAGCTCTGCTCTGTCAATATTAAACTCATTTTCTTCATACAGTGATTTCTGGGAACCGAATGACTTGTCTTTTTTTAATGAGTTTTCCGTTTCATTCTCAGTGACATCCGCCTCTGCGTCATCGTCGTCCGATGTTGCATCTATTGACACTTCCGTGAAGACAAAAGGGGGTGGCGAGCATTTTTTAAGCCTATCTGAATGCATTCTTACTTGCATAGCTTTCACAACAGCATTCTCCAATGAGCCCCCACATCCTTGAGATGTCCCTGCAAGGTCATTCAATATAGGACTGTGGACTTCATCATTAGCATCATCACTGACACTTGATTTTCCCGTAGAAGATCCTACAGAATTCAGATCATCCATATCCTTCGCAAAAAATAAAGCATCGTCATCAAGATCTGATTTTTGGTTCACAACGAGTTCATTGACATTTTCGCTGCCGTTCGGAACGAAATCAATATCCTCCTCAGCATCCATGCTCACCGATAGTCGTAATATTTTACTACAGCACTCTAAGACATTTTTTGCAGCTTCAACCTCAGCGTTGAAATAAAGTTCTTTATCGACTCTTTGGTTGTATACAAAATTACTACTAACACTGTAACAATCCAGATAACTTGATTCTGTGTAAGACAGATTTCTTGGCAAAAAGAACGCTCCTAAGGATGCCTCTGGATCTGTCAGGTTGTTGTACATAATATAATGCACTTCTCAAGCGCGGATTCCACGCATGATACGTTGCTAAGATCTGAAATTATACAGGCAGTTTTATAGATATAAAATATGTCATTTCTTTTCTCGTTTTCATTCAAAAAAACTTTCAGATGATAAGATACCGGCTGCATGAAATTGAAAGGTCGATGAATTATTACACAACATCTGACTACAAGCTAAAACTTACATCTGGAGAACAAAATTCGCCTGAATATCCTAACAAAATCATGAGAGTATTAAATTTGTTATTCAACTTGACATCAGTATATTTAAGGATCAAATTCAACACAACCATCATTTCCTCAACATTGGTAAAGATATAACCTCTCTGTTTACGCTCTAGACCTTTCGAGACTCCTCTGGTTTATTAGTAAACATAAAAACCTTGAGTTCCTATGGAGAGCTAGCAATGCAATTCGAAATAAAAATTGTAAAACTGTACATACACGCTAGAGTATGCTATACTTCTTCATCAGATGGACTACCCTTTCATAAAATAAACGTAAATATGAATTTTTATACTACTTACATCTCCATGACTAATCACTGAGTCATCTAATGAGAGGAGGGTTAAAGAAAGCGCTTCAAAAGAGAAAGTAGAAGTCACAGACGACTTCCCGTACAACTTGTGCACATGTGTATGTTGTTTACAATGCCGGTTGTGTCTGGTATGTGTTTATTATGTTTATTCTGCTCAATTATTTTTTTCCAAGGTCTTTAATAGTGTCTTTATTTATTTTTTTTAAACTGTCAGATACCGTGCAGGTATGTCCCAAAACAAGTTCGTTTTCATATTGAATTGATCGAGTCCTCGACTCCAGCTTGTGTTATGTGACTGTATACACATCCACTGGCTGTGATTAGGATATACCCGGAGGGCTTGCCCAAGGGGAATAGTTCTTGGTAAAGGGTTAAATGAAAGAACTGTCCCACTATTTGACCAACAGCTATTCTCTTTAAATAGAGAGGTGGGCAGACTTTAGCCTATAAATGCATGTATATATGCATCCGTGAATGTAAAGCCCGTCCACTTCTCTAGGCCTATAGAAAATAAACCATAGTGAATAACAGTCAGTGAATAAATCATTTTGTAAAATGTATGTTGTATTTTTATTGATGACGGATAACACAATTATACCCAGGGGTATGGCATTGCACCACATTAAGATTTTCATAATACTGTATGAAAAATAGCTGCACTATATATTTTATTTGTGGGCCAGGATTATATATATATAGCACATGTATAAAGCTTTGCTTTAAATAAAAAAAAAATACACCACAAAAAATGTATTTTTACCCGTCTGTCTGTCCATGCGAGATTGCTTTCTACTCAGTTTCAAAGAAACTGTAAATCATTAGCTTACCCGATCTAGATCCCTAAATTGAAATGAGATAGATAAGGATCATCTTAATATTTTTTTTTTTAAATCTTTATGACAGAGTTCACTCTCTGATTTTAGAAGACTTGCCAAGGATGAGCCTGGGTTGGTATCTTTAGGACAGAGAGATTTCCTTGTTAGCATTAATTAATGTATCAGTATATGCATTTGTACAAAATTAAGTGTATCTATATATCTGCAAAATGCATCAATTTGTAAACTGTTGCAAATATTGTATACATCAAAACTTCATGTTTAACTGTGACGATTTAAATGTGTAATTTACATGTAGGGAGAGGGCCTAATAAGTTTTCAGAACTTGTGCCCAATTCCTTTGTAATTATAAATTACAATGAAATATGTTCAAACCAAACCAGAGAGATTTAGGAGAGGTGTTTTTGATAGTCAGAATCGTTCAATGCCAATGGTAATACACGGGTATGCATGTAGTACAGTTCGCAGTTTCACTTTTCTGGATTCGACACTGCTTTTCCGCGAAAAAAAAATCCTGTTTTCCCGCGACTAATTATACTGCTATTCTGCGAGTTTTTTTTTCCGCGACCTATTTTTCCGTTAGCAGGTAAAAATCTTACAAAAAAGCATCACCGTTTTTTAAACATTGACTTTTCTATAAATGTAGCTATCGTATATTATACATTTTTTTTTTACAATGATCTGTTTCATTATGAATCATTTCAATGACTTCAGAAACCTATCACCTACCAATGTGAACAGTGAAATTCATGCAATTTTGTTATCGCTTCCATCCGTGAGTTAAATACTACTAAATAGAACTCTGTGAAGAAATACAGGAAAACAAGGGAAAATATCAGAAATGTTTGGTGCCAAATTGTACACGTGGCAACTCAAAAATCGCGGGAAGGAGGTATCAAATAAAGGTGATCTCACATAACTTACAGTTGTATATATATATATAGTTAAAACCAATCGCTGAAAAGCAGTGTGAAGTATTTGTGGAAAAGCAGACATTGGACCAAAATAAAATCTGGAAAGGCAGAATGACAGTACAGTTGGTAGAGCACATGTTTATTTAGAATTCAGGAGGCCTGAGTTGAATTCTGGTCTGTTTTATTGCATTTTTCTCCCTTCCTTCACAAGAGCATTCAATTTATGCCAGAACTTTAATGATCTCTTATTTGGCCTTACATTTCATTGACTTGTGTGTAAGGTTCATGTTAAGTTGAATTTTGCTGAGATCTGCATCTAAGTAGAACAAATAGTCAACATTACATAATCTACTTTTTAACACTACCTCCTTTCATTGATTGCTTCAAATTTAGCCATTAAATATGAGATAGGAATATAGTTTTCTTCCAATTTGTTTCAAAACTTTAATCTTTGTGTTGAAATACGAGAAGAATTTAAAAAAAAAAAACATAAATCAAATCCATGTTGCAGCTTACTTAAAAGATAATATTAAATATTAGTTTTTAATAACGTTATGAAGGATATTGGCAGAAACTTTTTCATAAATTAGAGAAAAAAATAAACTGAAACCTCCATATCATTGGTAGTACATTTAGAATTTCTATATTGAAAATGCTACGGCAGAACATTACATCTTCTAAACATGGAAAATATCTTACAATTTAAGATGAACTAAGAACATCAAGACCGTATGAAATTTCCAATTACTAATAATAAGAGGAATAAAGCAATACATTTTAAACTAGAGGTACTGTGAGCACTGAGCTCACATATGACTATAATGATAACATCCATGTTTTGCTATGGGAGACCCGAAATAAGTGTCAGATCAAAAAGTAAAATGAGAGATGCACAATGGCACTATGTAAAAAAAGATTCTGAAAGTATTATTAAATTTTATTCAGTGGTATAGGAGGAGTTGCGGATAAGAGATGGGTACCCCTCAATATTATAGAAAGAATGACAGTGTCTATGTTTTGCTATTTGAAACCAAATATGTGTCCAATTAAAAAGTAAAATAGGAGGCACACAAATGCACTATGTAACAAAAATTTTCTGAAAGTCTCATTTAAATTCCGTCGTATATATAAGAGGAGTTGCGGATAAGAGATGGGTACCCCAAAGCGTAAAGAACACCCCCAACTTTTCTGTCGGGGGGGGGGGGTGTATAATTAACAAAACTTTAGGAATTGAAACCGGCAGATTTTCAAGGCCATATATATCCCAAAAGAATCTCATTTTTGTCACTTCTGTAAAACTATTGTAGAAGAGGAAGTAATTTTATATATTATTGTTCTAAATATAAACTAAATATATATTATAAAGACGCAATGAAATATATCATCCTTTGGACTTCTGTTATCCAATAGACAATCTGATGAAGGAAAATCTTTGTAATATATATTGTTATACTGTCAATGTTGTTCAAGTTAGAAGGATATATATGCAAATGTTTACACAAATGTTTTAAATTGCATTCTAGAAATAGGTGCAATAATACTTACAAGTTGTATTTGATTTATATGTGCTGTATGTGTTAATAATTATGTATACCTTTAAAGTTGTATACATACAGTTTAACTTCTTTATATATATACTACAGTGTATATGTATGTATTTGAATTATTATTTGATAACACACTGTACTTTTCATATTGCTATTGTGTTGTATGAGTTGTGAATCAATAAATGAAACTTTTTAATCTGATGTTCTGAGCAGATTTCTTGGTAATTAAAATATTCAACCTAATTTTCAACCTAATTTTCTTTAAATGTGAGAGCACTGAACTGGAAAAACATGTTGCTTTGTGCAGATGACACCAATCTGGGTCACATTGTTTTTCTCGGAAGCTAAAAATAAACATTCATTCAGACGATGTTTACAAATCGATTGCGTGAGAAAAAACACGTAGGCACTTTTTAAGATGATGTAAACAGCATAAGGTATGAAAGTTATGTGCACAGCAAAACAAAACAAGGTTAGAATTTTTAAAATAAACAACATAATGATCTGCATGTTTTTGATTCCATAAATATTTATCCAGTGGCTTGCCAAAAATAACATAATAAGAAAAAACATTGCACTATGTCCAAAATAAAACGAACGGGACAAATGTATAGGTATTTTTGGAAGAAAAAAATCAGGTGTCCCCCTTCCCTATATAGTCCTGGTTAATATATAGTATACATGTGTAATGCAATGGTTAACAACACGCCAGGAACTAAATAGATTAAAGTAGTCATATACTTTTATACATTGTATTCCTTTTAACCTGAAATAGTATGTCATAATGATCATTATTAACATTTTCAACAGTGAAATACTATGATTAAAGTGATATTCTCTCACAGTGTGAAAGGATACCAAAGTGATATTCTCTCACAGTGTGAAAGGATATCAAAGTAAGTAAAAAGTAATTTCTGGCCTGTCATAAGATAGAGATAGTAACTAAACCGTCTTGATAGAGACTAAAACTGCCAATTTCTTTCCAAATATGTTGCTAAAATCCTTGTTACAATGTTTTCAATCTCACAATTGCTAAGCTCAACCGCTCAACAATGACGTCAGAGCCTATGACACTGTGTTAAGAAAAGACAGAGGCAAAGGGAAAAATCATAAACAGAAAAATTCAATTCGTGAAAATATATATAAAAAAAAATCCAGTCCCACTCGTGAAATAAATTCCATATCCAACTACAAAACATTGAATATCCTCTATTTGTTAAAATGAGCAATGTCATGTACTTATTGTTATACTATTCATTGGCATATCTTTTCCTTACTAATCTACATTTTATATTTGTCTATTCTGGGTTCTAACTTAGAAATAAATGTTCTGTTCTCTATAATCGACGATCCAGTATTGAAGTTAACAAGATTTGTCATTAATCTAGACAAAAGACCAAAGAGATTTAACCATATTTAAACATATTTATTGAACAATTCATTAAA